CTGGTGGGGGGGGGGTCAGCTCAATAGGGGCTGGGCCCAGGGGACACTCCCCAGCTGAGGAATGCCAAGCAACAGGCAGCTGGCTGGCTGGCTGGCTGGCTGGCTGGGATAGAGGGCTGCGGGCCACCCCCCCCACCTCACTGGCCCTGTCGCCATGCCCTATTACAAATCTGTAGGCAGCTGGCTCTCTGGTAGGGTGCATCTCTCTGAAATAGGGCAGCTAGGCCTAGAGAAAGGACAAGCAGCTTGCCCGACTGCCATGCTACCAAGGTAAAGGCATTCAGGAACAGGGACCACAGCATGTCCTCCTTTCCATACCCTAGAGAAGATGGAAGTCAAAACAGTCCACCAGAGACCCAGACGGTGCAGCCGGAAGGCCACCACCTGCCCTGTGGCTTCGCGGTCCCTCAGAGTGGCCTTCCCCCAGTCTTCTCAGTGGAGGCAAAGTTAGGTCCAGCTGTGCCAAGGTAGAGCAGCAGGAGATACTGCCGTCCTCAACGCTCGAGGCGCTGACCTCCGGAGGGTAATATGAGGGGCCTGGGGACTCAGGACACCTAGGGCTCAGCCTTTGACTGCGGTGACCACCCTACAGTGGTTCTCAACATGTGGGCCACAACTCCAAAAATTCCATCGGAAAACAGATGTTTACATACACTAGCAAAATTACAGTTAGCAATGAAAATATTTGATGGCCGGGGTCAAGGGAACACGAGGAAAACTGTCTTAGGTGAGAACCACTCACTGCGAGACTCTCCTTGCCTGGAGAGTGACAGCCTCAGAGACCTAAGAATGGGAAAACGCCGGGATCTGGGAGCTCAGGCCGTGGTGGTGATAGGCAGCTATGCCCAGCAATGCTAAGGCAAATGTGGAGAGCATCACACATCTTGCCACACATGGGCTCAACATTGTATGTGTTTCCCACATCCCCGTTCACCGCTACAAGGCAGGGTCACAAAGCTTCTGAAGAAACTGAAGCCCAGAGACCATGGCACTCGGCCAATTAGCAGCTGGACAGAGGAGTGAGCTGGGCCAGATTAGGGATGTTTGGTAAGGCTGTGTTTGCAAAGGAGAGTGCCCTGAGTTCGGATCCTGCCTTTCCTATCCCTGCTCCTGAGACTCTCTGCTCAGCTGAGCAGGATAGCACAGGCACAGTGCCCAGCCCTGAGCAAAAATTTAAACTGGTGTTTAGTCACAGCTTCCTGTCCACAACACACTTCTGCTTTAAAAAAAAATGAATAGTTGCAAATGAATTTATTTTTACTAAAGTAGTTCACAGATTTTTGTTTAAACATCATTCGGTCACCTTCAACGCCCCAGGAGGAGTCTTCCGGTATTTTCTTCCCTGCAAGGACACTATCTATGCCCCTCCCCGCCCTCACCCTAAGCATGTTTCTGCGCAAGGAGCAGACCAGAATCAGACAAATGTTCCCATTCTCCAATGGGCAAAATGAGGTCCAGAAAGACAAAGAAGAAGGAGCCCCCGGATGCGGGCTTGGCCCTGCCCTTTGCCCCCAGAGCTGTAAGAGCGAGCGAGCTAGCGCCTCAGGCTTGAGTTGCCTCAGTTGCTTCCCTAACCCGCCCCACCCCACCCCTGCTCTGCTGATTTCAAATGCTGAGAACCAATCAAGCTGGCTGCCTGGGTAGCGGAGGGGGCCAGTTTCCGGGGCCTGTGGTTACCACACTCCACTTCCCTGTGATGACAGAAACCCCGTTTCTGAAACAGGAGGCCACCACCAAGATTCTCAGGTCTCCACACAGCCCGTAGAGGGCCCAGCTTCCCTGACCATTAAGTGGGACAGCATGGGGCACCGCTGAATGGCACTGCTTAGCTTGTTGCCCTGAAAGCACCCCTACATAACGGCCACATAACAGCTTCTTCTGTCTTTACTCTCCCTGACTCCCGGACAGAAGTCTTGATTAAAAATTTAGGCGGCCATTGGCCAAGGTTTCAGAGAAGGCGGATACCTGGGAAGTAGCTGCGGTGAGAGGGCAGGGGTGGCCCCTGGGTCCCTCAGTAGTCACAGTGCCAGTTGTGGGGGTAGCCAAGGCACCTCCCCCTCCCCAGCACACACACACACACACACACACACACACACACACACACACACACACACGAAAGGAAGGAAATGAAGCAAAGTCAGGCAAAGATAAGGGGAAGGGGCTAGGCCACACCAAGAACTCTCCTTAGGGTGCAGACCAGGGCTGGGCTCGAACGGGTCTCAAATCAACTCACCCTGTGGCTTGACTTTCTTCCCCAGTTTCAACTTTGAAAACTTGTGTTTCTGCCCCCCTCCCTTGCACCCCCCCCCCATTTGCCAGGACTCTGTATCTGCAACATGGTGCTTCCAGCTGCGCCTCCTCCCTCTCTGGCTTAGCAGTTCACCCTTCTCCGGCACCCCAGGCAAAGGCCACTCCAGCCTTTAGAGTACAGGATTAAGGGCTAAAAGCACCACAGGCAGGCAGAGGAATCTCCACTGTGAGGTTGACCAGATTGGGGGCACATGGGTCTGACTCCACCTGGGGGAGGGGGAGGACCGCAGTGCAAGGATTTGGGGGCCTGCTCACCACATCCTTGACAGCCCCTCTTTCCGACTCTGGGAGTTCAGGCCTCCAAGCAGTGCTTCGGACATAGGCAGCTTCACCCCAGTTACAGGGTGAGCCCTCTCTAACATTCCAGGGCCTCTCCTCCCACACACACCTCTGATCAGCCCTGTCTCACTCCCTGTCCACGGGGCTACATCCCATAAGTGATTCCCGCGGGAATTCAGAAAGCACTTCAGAGATGAGAAAGGACTTCCGGGAAGCCAGAGAGACAGCTGGATTTGCCAGCAGCTAGGACACTTAGGGTAGTGGGGAGGTCTAGGCAATCCCAAATCCTTGCTCCTTCTCATAAAAGCGCCAGAGGACTGTAGCCCCAAACACAGTCCCACAGGTGATTTCTGGAGGTGGGGCGTAAGAAGAGACCCTTAAACCAAGGAGAATGCACCCCCCAGCATCTCCATCTGCTCTCCTTGCCAGCCCAGCCCCACCCACAGCTCTCCGGTTAGACCTGGGTTCTGTCCAGGCATTGTCTGCCCTGCACAGCCTGCTGCCCATTGAGGTCTGGCGTGTGCCGAGCTAGCTGATCAAGAGCCAGCGCCGCCGCCATGGGGGGTGAGTGGGCGGACCTCTCACCTTCCTGGACCAGCTCAAAGGCAGGCTCTTTATCCATACAGGGTCCCCACCATTTCATCTACACCTGGGTGCCCGGGGAGGGTGGGGGGGCAGGACCGTCCCTTCCGTCCCAGAAACCTCCAGATGGTGGTCTTGGCAAGGGGACGTCAGCCAGCATTCCCCTGACGCTCTCGAAGCGGGGACCCCATTATTCTACTGTGCCAGGCCCGGGCTGGGGAGCCTGAACTCAGGGGGAAGGGCTTTGTTTGGCTCTCTCCTGCAAAATGGAGTCTACAAGGAAAGCCCCCATGGTTAGAGCATCCCATCTCCTGCTTTGCCAGTGCTGGTTCACACTGGTTGGGGGTTAGGACTCTGTTTTCTTTTCATGGTAGGTAGCTGGCCTCTCCCCATCTGCCTTAGGTGCCATATTTACATACACACCTCACTCCCACCCCCACCCCCACCCCGACCCCCGCCACGCGCTTCCCTCGACCTCCAAGGGTCCCCGCTGCAAAGTCAGCCTCAGTGGCAGCCTGGCCCCGCCCCCACCAGCCCACCAGGCACCTGCAGGGGCTCCTCTTTGTCTCAGGCTGCTCAGTGCCAGGCAGAGTGTTCACAAGAGATGCTCTAAGTGCTGAAGGAGCTGCTAGACTGGGGGCCCTCAACCCTCCCCCCCCCCCCAAGCAGCTGAGTTATACACTGTCTCAGTGCCTTCTCTCCCGGATGCACAGAGCAGGGATGTCTTCTCTGGGTTAGGAAGAGGGCACCTCCTCCATTGCTTTCTCTGATCTTTCTAGAGGCAACTTCCAGGGGTCCCTGGAATCTGGGTCATGTCTGGCCCAGGGGGTCTGGAGATCTGTTTCAGAGACCCACCCTCGACTTCCACTACTCCCCTCCCCCATTCTACAAGAATGGACAGATGAATGCTCCTCTGTCCATGCCAGACTTGGTGACCAGCTCCTACACAGGTACCCTCCCAGTATGTCCTCAAAGAGAAGGCCCCAGAGCGCAATCCACAACGGAGCTGGCGAACAGCACCTCCACCCAGCACAAAGAACACAGATTGGTTCAACTTTGTAGTATTTCCTGCCCCTCCCGCACCTGTGTTCCCCTTGCAAAAGAACCCATTGGGTCGTGTCCTCTTCCCTCCTAAGGTCTGCCACATCACTTCTAGTGCCTGCAGATATCGGGGACGTGACCCCAGATAAATCTAGGGACCCTCCCTCGCTGCTCAGCCTCACCTCTGTGTACCTGTGAAGGTAGCCTACGGGCGGTGCCGCCCCCTTTCACCCTTTCGGGGTTGGCCCCTCAGATGCACCTTCGCCTCCCTCCCTCCCTCCCTCTCCTTTGGGCACAGGACCAGCAGGGTTCTCTTCAGCACCCACCGGCACCCTGTGGAAGGCCGAGGTACCATTCCGACCCTTCCATGGGTCCGTGGTACCCGCCCCCAGGATAGTGAACTGCATCGAGAACATAGACCTGGCTAACTGGGGTAGATGGGGGGGGGAGGGGGAGGATTCCCTCCTGTGCCCCAGAATGAGACAGCAGCCTCATGGGGAGGCGAAGAGGAAACACACAGACGCTCCGGCCTGGGCCAGGGCTGGGTGTGAAATACCGGATTTCCTTGTTTATTCGATTTTCTGATCATTAAGGGCTCCCAAGAGGGGCCAGAAATCACCACCCAAACAAAGCCACCTTCCACCGGTCCGCAGGGCCGCCGCTCCCCTGCGGCAGCCGGGCCAGCGCGCGCCGGCCCCTCCTCCTGCACTGCGGGCTCCAGATCGAGCGGTGCCCGCGCCCCCCTCCCCGGGTCCCCGCGAGACAAAGCCCGAGCCATCGGCGCTCACCTGACGGCCACTTTGACGCAGCAGTCGCCCTGGCCAGCCATGGTCGGTCCTGCGGCACTGGGGGGAGGGGGAGCGGGTCTGGGCGCGGATCAGGCGCGGGGGTCCGGGGGCCACTGCTGCAGGCAGCGGCCGCGGCCGCGGCTGCGGCTGCAGCTGCAGGAGGCGGAGGCGCGGACGCGGCTGGCGAAAGCGACCTCGCGGGCTGGAGGTGGCATGCTCGCAGCGGGCGGCGGAGGGGGCTCACCCGCGCCCGGCCCCGCGGGGCTGGCCGCGCGCGCCTCCTCCTCCAGCCATCGCGCGGCGGTGCAGAGCGGGCTGACAGCGGCCGGGGTTAGACCCGCAGCTCCGTGCCGCTGCGGGCGCGACACGCGCGCACACACCTCCCACCCCGGCCGCCGCCTCCCGCCGCAGCGCGAACAAAGGGGGCGGGGGCCCAGCCGCCTCCGGTCCCACCCCCGGGCCCCTAGGAGCCGCGCAGGGCTCCGCCCCTCCCCGCGGCCGCCAATAGGGGGCCCCGACGGGCTGCAGAGGCGGGACCTGCGCCTTTAAAGGGACCTCTTGGCTCGCGTCCACCGGGCGGCTGGGAGGGGCTGGAAGGCTTGCAGGGCTGGGGGAGATGGGCGGGGGCTGGGGGCGTGAAAGCGGGGGTGGCCCGGTGGACTCTTGGCTGGGAACTTGACCCGTTCGGGAACCTCGGCCCTTGAAGTCATGGTACCTCGACCTCAGTGGGACCTTCCCCTGCTAAACGGGGAACCGGGCTCAAAGAGGAACCTCCCAAGGCCATGCAGCCAAACAGTGGCTGGGCATGGGTAAAAACCCTGACCTCTGCAGAGTGTGCTGTGCACCTCAGAGCATCCCACAGCGATGGGCAACTGGCTGTTAGAAAACAAAACAAAGCAAAAAACCCCCACGTCCTTCTGCATTTATTGTAAATTGGCCACCTTTGTGGAAGGGGATTCTTGTGTTAATGTCTGAGTAAGTTTCCCCGCCTCCACCCTGCACATCTTAAAGCCCATCTCTGGCCGGGATTGCTGGCCAGCTCAGACTCTCTCTACTAGACTAGGGTCCCGCTGACCTTTATGACCCACCGGGCTTGGTTCACACTGCTTTGTGACTGTCGGGGCACGGGGTCAGTGTGGGAGGTCCTGGGAAGTGGCGGGAAGAAAGGGACGCTTTATTTAACTCCGGATACCTGAGAGAGGCTGGGTGGCGAAGTGGGTGGGGAGGAAAGATGGAGGCCAGCCGCCCACTGTCAGAAATAATTATATAAAGGACAGGGGCCAGCCCTGGGAAGTCCGGGTTCTCTCCCCATCTCCCCTCCCCTCCCTCTGAGCCCCACTCCTTCTCCCCGCCCCCCAACTCCCAACATTAGGCCCATTCACAGGGCCTCTTACCAGCTGCTCCCTTCACTGGCTTCACCCACCTCCTCTGGAAAAGGCCCAAGAGGAGGACCCAGCTGCAGCTCAAGATGTGGATGGTCTGAGACCTCTGGGGGAGGGGAGGCAGGGGAGTCTGACTCCCAAGCTTCTTGCATCAGCTCCTGATGATGAAACCGTGTCAGAGATTCCGGCAAGGGTGTGTGTGTGTGTGTGTGTGTGTGTGTGTGTGTGTGTGTGTGTGTGTGTTAGGGTCTCAAGGACCCGTGCTTGGTGCCACCAACCCCTCCCACTTCCCCACCCACACCCCATCTGCCCAGGAACCCAGAGTGGTGGTGTTGATCTGTGTAAGGGGTCCTGATGGAATCCGACATATTAATGTTAGCCCCTGAAACCCAAAGCCAGTGAGTGAGTCACATCTCTCAAGAGCAGGAGGCTGCCAGGGTGCTGTGGAATTGAGGTTCTCCCTGTCTTCCAACCAAAATGGCCGAGGGAGGAGAGTGATGCTTACGGGCCACCTACACAGGCAGCTACCATGCTGACCACGTTCATCCCCCGACCTCACGAGCTAGGCTCTGGTGTTTGTTCTTCATGTTGCAAGTGTCGAGACAATGTCAAGCTGCAGAGGATATGAGCCCCCTGGAGTGGTTCTGGGTTTCTCTAAGGGAGTGCAGTGCCTGCGGGCAGGGGGCAGGACCGTCCCAGCATTCCCTGAAGGTGCCACAAGCTACAGGCTTAGCACTCCTGGAAGTGAGGGCATTCCACCAAAATGCTCTGGCTCCATCTATCTCTGGACATCTATGGTACTTAATTCTGGTTTCCTGTTTGCCATAGTCTGCTCAGACTTCCAACGGTAGGTGACCCTTCTGACTCATAGCTCCGCTGCTGGGAAATGCCACCAGAGCTGTCCCTCCTGCATCCTCTGACGTCCAGGGTGTCCAGACCGGTTTTGGGGTTCCAGTTATCCCCCCCCCTTCGGCATCTCCCTCCTGAGCCATCAACAAGCAGAGCGAGCAGAGCGGCTGGGCTGCAGAGGTCCAGACCCTGCCTCCTAGGCGCTGCTGTTCAGAAGTGAGGGACTAGCAGGTGATCCAAGGTGAGAAAGCGGCTTATGCTTTGCAGCC